TGAAGGCTCGGCTGTAGAGCTGTTTGCGGTGGTGGTTTCACCAGACTGGCAGCAGTTGTCAGATGTCTGCGATAGGTACAGTATTTTCCTGATGGCAGGATGTTGTGCTTTAGCCCCCCCAGCCAGCAACTCAGCACCACGCAGCCGCTCGCTCACTCCCCCTACCCCGATGGGATGGGGGAGAGGATGGGAGGAGTAAGAATGAGAAACACTCCTGGGGTGAGATAAGAACAGTTTAATAATTGAAATAAAGTAACATAGTAATGATAATAATAACAATATACTACTAATAGTAATAATATACAAAGCAAGTGATGCCCAATGCAATTGCTCACCACCCGCCGACCGATGCCCAGCCAGTTCCCGAGCAGCGATCGCTGCTCCCCGGCCAACCCCCCCAGTTTCTATACTGCCCATGACGCCATATGGTATGGAATAGCCCTTGGGCCAGTTGGGATCAACTATTCTGGCTGTGCCCCCTCCCAGCTTCTTGTGCCCCTGGCAGAGCAGGGGAAGCTGAAAAGTCCTTGACTGGCATAAGCACTACTGAGCAACAACTAAACCATCAGGGTGTGATCAGCATTCTTCTTGTCCTAAATCTGAAACACAGCACTGTGCCTGCTACTAGGAAGAAAATTAACTCTATCCCAGCCGAAACCAGGACACAGGATAATGAAATTAAACTGTCATGAAGGCCAGACCTTCCTGAATTCCAAAAAGTGAATTTAACAGTTTCAACAGATTTTAGTTATTTCTTTTCTACTACGACAGGGCTTGATCTGCCTAAACCCAGTTTTAGAAATAAATTTAAACTACTTCTATTGAAAATATGGGCCATTAAGGGCCTGGTCTGCATCTGTGGGAGACGCTATTTGCCATTGTTCCCACCTTCAACTCTATAATTTTCTGAGGCCTCTGGGTTGTTGCCTTATTTTTGACTCACAGTATTCATGCAGTTATTTTCTTAACTAAATGTGACAACTTCAAAATGAACTTACTTTGTGTTACAGTGACAGGACATATTTTTTCCCAAAGCAATCCTGTTTCTTTTATGAAATAATAGATTAGCGTCATGACAAAATACTTTTAATGTTAGTGAAGACTGACTCATACATTCAGTTTTTTAAGAGCAATGACTGTGAGGAAAACTGATTAGATACAACGATTGAAACATTGATGCTCCTGATATTTGCAAGGATATATGTAGTACTGTAAATCTGCAAAGATCCTTCCGGTATTTTTCTTTTTAATTTTCAGCATTATCATAGCATATTGTTTCCTGGCTATTTTTAATACAAAGCTGCAATATACAAAATAGGACTCTACTGACGATCAAATCTTGTGGTTAGTTGTGCATCTCCCTTTTACTGAAGCAAGACGATATCTTATCCTAAAGTGAAGATTAATAAAACTAAGTGTATGTTTTTTTAGGAAGAGACCACAGTTCATGTAGCTCTGATGTTGAAAAATAACTCTTCCCTTGTGGAACTACATTTGTGCAAGCATGAAATGAAAAACTTCGGTGTGGAGCGACTGTGTGAGGCGTTGTACGAAAACTCCAGCCTGAGATACCTTGATCTTAGCTGGTAAGAGTTATTACGTGGCATAGCCCTGACTAACATTAGACACGCATTTTCTTAGTACCCTTTTAAAAAAATGTGTGCCTCTCTCTTTCAGTAATAAAATAACCCGGGATGGTGTAAAATTTTTGGGACAACTACTAAAATGGAACCAAACCCTGGAAATCCTAGATCTTAGTGCAAACCGAATAGAAGATGATGGAGCTATCTACCTGAGTGAAGCCTTGGCTTTGTACAACAGGACTCTTCAGGCGTTAGTATTTACGTAACTTCCCCAGAGACTGCAGGTGTAATGACTGAGTATAAGAAGCTCAGACTTTGCAGTGGCTGAACTGACATCAAAACTGTGTGGTTTATGTTACTGATCAAAAGAGAAAAGTCAGGAAGTTCCAAACTTTTTAGTCCATTTTTCTTCCTCAGGGGGAAAAAAAAAAAGTGAATGACGGATTGGGTGGGATTCCTTTACCTAAGCATAGGTGTCTGCTGCCATTGGAGGTGCCCCAAGACCTGTGAGACATCCTGGGGCGCTGGCAGGTGGCCCACAGGCCCTCTCAGAGCTCTGCAGCTTGGAGACCAGGCAGGTCAAGGTGGCACAGGGGGCCCATGTTTGGGTAGCTGAATTAAATCCCCTGTAGCTTCCCGTGAGCTAAAAGAGTAAAACACGAGGCCAAGAAATGCCATCCAGTCCCATGTCCATATCCTGGGCTGCATCAAAAGCAGTGTGGCCAGCAGGTCGAGGAAGGGGATTCTGCCCCTCTACACTGCTCTGGTGAGACCTCACGTCCAGCTCTGGAGCCCTCAGCACCAGAAGGACATGGAGCTGTTGGAGTGGGTCTAGAGGAGGCCACAAAAATGATCCAAGGGCCGGAGCCCCTCTGCTCCGAGGCCAGACTGGGGGAGCTGGGGGTGCTCAGCCTGGAGAGGAGGGGGCTGCGGGGAGACCTGAGTGCAACCTTCCAGTACTGAAAAGGGCCCACAGGAAGGCTGGGGGCAAGCTTTTTAGCAAGGCCTGTTGTGACAGGACAAGGAGTAATGGATTTAAACTAAAGGAGAATAGATTTAGACTGGACATAAGGAAGAAATTTTTTACAGTGAGGGTGGTGAAGCACTGGCACAGGTTGCCCAGAGGCGGTGGAGGCCCCATCCCTGGGAACATCCCAGGCCAGGTTGGACGGGGCTGTGAGCACCCTGGGCTGGGTAAAGCTGTCCCTGCTCGCTGCAGGGGTTGGGCCGGATGGGCTCTGAAGGTCCCTTCCAACCCAAAGCATTCCATGATTCTATGTCCTAATGCCTCATGTTCACCTTCCCACACTGCCAGCCCTACTCATAACTCATTTTATCCCCTTTTCCTTGGACTTCCTTTTTTTTCCATCTTGTATCCATTGCTGTGTGGCCTGACATGTGCTTGTTCTTGTGTTTCAGGGATTTTTGGGGTTGACATTTAGATCAGTTTTGTAGTGGTTCATCTTGCCTGTGATTCACAGCTTTTAGTCATTCTAAGGAGGGAAGGCAATTAGATCTTACTAGTTCTTTTTGCATCTTTAAAGCGTGGCGCAAAAAAGAAAACAAACCAAGAGCTGTACATCTTCAGAATTTTAAGATAATCGGATTCCATGCAGGGATGAGGCACAATATTTGTTGATTCTGATCTTCAACGCTTAAGAAAATCCTCTGTTTAAGTTAGCTTCCGGGTGAACCCAAAAGAGCTGTAATCTCTCCATCAGGGCGCACTTTGTAGCCCGCGTTAAACCCTGTGCCGGCAGGATGTAAAAGCTGATCAAAGATGTTACCTGAAACCATTAGTTTTAAGTAGCAGACTGAAGAGGTGGCGGCTGCTAGGTGCCTCTGAAAGCCTTCCAGGTTGGCTAATATAAAAATAACTGCCACTCCACAAAGATCAAAGCTTAGCCTGGACGAGTGCCAAGGCTCGGGCTTCAAAGCAGACTAGAGATGAGACCTGGCCACCACGCAGTAAGTCATGGGAGAGCTAAAGAGCGAACAACCTGGCGCTCAAGTCATGGAAATGCCTGAAGAGATAGTGCAAGTCCATAGCCCGAACTGCCTTTAGCAACCTGAAAGATTTTCTAGTAGGACTGGACTTGATGCAAATAAATAATTGCATTATTAATAACAAGTATAAAATTTCAATCTACATATATGATATATAATAATAATAAAATACAAAAGAAGAATAAATCATAGCTAAACTTAAACTAAAAGATGGGAATTCAGTTGTTTGGCACACATTTGCGTAACTATTTTCTCTGTTTATTAGGTTGTCAGTAGTAAGCAACAATATAAGTAGCAAAGGACTTGTAGCTCTTTCAGATGCAATGAAAACAAACATGGAACTTTCCTACATTTACATTTGGGGGAACAAATTTGATGAAGCCACCTGCATGGTAACTATTTGCTTCTGAACTCTTCTAAGAGGGTTGGGTTTTGTTTGTTCTAATTTGGTTTTATAATCATTTACAAGACTGCAGCAATTCATGAACAAGGTACCCAATTTACTCTAGGTTTTGGTTTTCTAAATAATTGTAATATGGTGGTGCTGCAATGAGACTCGCTGGACATCAGCATACTGAAATGATCAAGTACTCGCCTGTTGTGTGTTGTCTTCTAGAGCCTTCACTGCAGTCAAAGTGGAATACTACATGTCAGATTCTTGTTCTTGCTCATTTCAGGCATTTTCAGAATTAATTCAGACGGGCCGCTTGAAACCTAACTGTACAGACGTGGAACCTTATGAAGTGGATGGGCATGTTCACCTCGCAGAGCTCTCCCATGGCCTTAAGAAGCACTACTACTGGACGCCGAGCTGTGGGGAGGAGACAAACAAGGACGCTAATGCCAGTCTGGCAATTGCAGCGGTTTCAGAATACTTGTGAGTCAGGTAGCAGCTGGATGCACTCCATACACTTGAGGTTTTCCTATCTTCTTTCTAGTAAAATGGATTATATCAGTATCAAACTTGCTGCATGTTGTTTCTTCAGGGTTTTTGGTCTAGAAGGAATCTACAAACACTTAAAAGTGGCATTACAGGTAAAATACTAAACCAGCGACCTTAAAATTTGTTGCTAAAAATGCCCAAAGCTATTAAAAGCCTATTAATACAAAAATGCATTCATTTTGCAGCAGTCGTTTCTGTTGTACACTATCTCCTTTGCCTTACTGTGATTAGCTGGAGTTCCAGGGTTCCCAGGTGATAGATGAATTTAGTGAAATAACATGCTAAGAGGAAAATGTTTTCACCACAGCACAGTGCACTGAGTGACACCAGGTATTCCTAGCGGTAACGGGGAATAGAGCAGTCACGGACCAGAGGCATGTGAAGGGTTTAGACTGCAGCAGTGCAGATGCATGAACGGAACTCATCACAGCTGAGCTACTCTGCTCTATTTAGGAGACCTTCGCAGATCCGGATTTTTACCAAGTGCTCCTTATTTTAAAAAAGCTGCAGGGGCTGGTTCAGAGCAGCGGCAGAGCCTATGGATAACAGTATGGTGACCACAGGGTCCTCTACCACATGGCAGCTGCAGAGGAAGAGCTGTCGTTGCCCTTCCCGGGCTGTGGTCTCTGCAGTCAGGTTTCCACAAAGCAGGGAGAACCCACAGGTAACGTTACTGCATCCCTGCAGGCTGGAGGACAGCCAGGCAGATCAAACTGACAAAAACGTGCAGCCAGGATTGCCGCTTGACAGCAAATCAGATATGCTGTAGAACAAGGTTCCTGTTGCAGCCAAGAGAGGTTTGGGTCAACCCATTTGTTGCTACCGCGCTCTACATACTCTCCTTTTACTCAGTAATGGCATGCTTTTGATCTGTATCCAAGAGTGACTTTTTTTTTTTTCAACCAAGTTAAATGAACTTAAGCGTTAAGCCACTATAATGCTGGAACTTTAAAGCTAGTGAACCTAGTTTACTGGCCTATAAATGGTATTTTGATTAACTTGCAGCATGTACTTGTTTCTTATACTACAAATGAAAAACACCAAATGTGGTTTCATGATTTCTTCCTGTCTCTTGAAAACTGTTTAAAAAGATTTATATCATGAGAGCCATGTGGCAACTCCTACACGTGAATAAGACAACATATGTATATAATGGTAGTTAAAAATGGTTTAACGATTTTGATACAGGCCTCTTAGAAGTCTGGGAATCACTCAGCTTGTTTCCTTTGTACACCCACTCTGCTCATACCTGTAGAAGTGACCAGATCTATGCTCCTACACAGGAAAAGTCACCAAATAGGACAGCAGAGGCTCACTCAAAGGCTTTCACTAGTGCAATCTTGTGCATGTCGAAATATGCCTGTTAAAAATTAGTATAGGATAAGTAACAGAATAATCCTTGAACGTATGTGCATGCAGGCAAAAGACCCACAAGATGGAGGTATGAGGGGAAAAAGATAAGAAAGTAATTTCAACAATAATACCTACGAAGCAGTGATGTAACTGCTGATTCTGTATTATCACAGAGGTATTGTAGAAACATGTATGGATATCCCTTACCAAGCTGAAATGACCAGAGTGGTACCAAGAGCTGTTTTAAGTGTTGGGTTTTTTTTTTTCTCTTCCCCTCCCTGCTGCCTCCAAACACAAATCAGTCAGGCTCCATTGGTCCAAAAGCAAGTTTTCTTCACCACCTGGAGCGTGCTCTCTTCCCAGAACAGCTTCACAGATGTGACACCCAAAAGGTGAGGGCAGAGCAGGAGACCAAAAATGAATTATCTTTGTGGTCTGCACAGGGACATCTTAAACTGCAGTCATCTTGTTAAGCACAAAGTCCATAACTCGCACTGTGAAAACCATATTCTAGAGAGGAGCTTAAATTTTAACTATGGTTGCACAGAACAGAGCCGTGAAAACAAAAGTTGAGGATACACAGAACATGATGGAGAAGGATCTGCATGCTATGAAAATTTGTAAGTTTTTAAAAAATTTGATAGGCCTGTATTATCAAAGTTGGTATTTTTCTGAGTGTTGCTGCTCTGGAGCATTGCAGGTTCTATTCTGAGAGGCTAAGAGAGTACTCTCAGTACTGAGACACTGATGATAGAATTTCTTGCCAGAAAGACCTCCGCAAGATTCAGATCGAGGTATGTTTTTTCCATATATCTTTCTTTCCCTTGTCCTGTATGTGAAGTTCAGGCTAATTTCCTTGCCCAAATTAAGTCTTCATTTACTTGCACAAATGACATTTGTTAATATGCTGTGGTAGCAGGGAACCAAGTCTACTAAGTCAGTCCCAACTCCACCAGCAGCAGGATTTTATTTTTAGTAGATGTGGTAAGATGGCAACAGTATCATACACAAAATGTAACAGGATAAATGGCATCTACTTTCAAAATTGCTTGTGTATGTTTTCAAAATATTTTTACTCCAGCCGAACCCTTGTTTGACAGCAAGATGCTTGGCCCAAAAGAGCACTCTGCATTGTTGACAATATCCATAAAAATAGCTCATGTGTTCTAGTTTACTTTGATATTCCTTTATAAGAAAGGGCTGCAGAGTAATTCTTACTGAATTAGGCATCAACAGCTTCCTGCAAACTAAAATTATTTATGCAGAAACCCGTATTGCTTAGAGGCCTACGCCAGAGGCATTTACTGCTTTCCTTTCTCTGAAAACCAAACCTTAAAAGTCTTGAAAGGTGTATCTTGTGTTCTTTGGAATGAGAGAATTTACATAGGCTAGAAATTTTTTGCCATGGTCTTCTGAGAAGTTATTCTAGTGGCAAAAGGAAGCACAACCCTGCTCTGTAAACCATTGTTTCAGCTTCCAGAACTCGCAGTGCCTGGCTGAAAGGCAGCATTTTTGCCCCAATTTAAAGGGAAGCAAAATGACTGATCCAGCAGGCCAGTGGTACAACGCAGGTCCCCTAAGTCCCGCTGTGTGCTCTAGCCACCATACCACCTTCTGTAAAATTGAACAATCTAGTAAAAATAAGTTAAGATATAAATTCTAATAAAGAAATTCACTGAATATCTACTTTAGCATAGAATGTACATCTTCAAAGCACTCTGTAAAACCACAACAAAACCCCCAAACAACCACCCCTGCCCCCAAACACCTCAAAACAAGTGGAAAAAAATTAACCTAGGAGTCATTATACTAGATTGTATTTAAAATAAAGTTTTTGTTTCATTTAGTTTGAACAGACCCAAAATATCTTCTGTGAGAAAAATCAGGTGTGTTTACTGCTGAGAAGAAAGTACAGCCATCCTTGCTGCGTTAGGACGCTGCGCAAAGGGCTACCGTGCGTCCTTCGGACCGGGTGCTTTGACGGTGGTTATGTTAGACTGCTTCCCTCCTCCTCTTGTTGCCACCCCTTGCAGTTATAAACAGGAGACACAAGGTGAGGGAAAATTACAAAACAAGTTTATTAAAGTCTAACATAAAACACTTCAGGCTAAATATGTACAACTCCCCCCCCCCCCCCCCCCCCCAATATCAATGGGGATTATAAAATCGAGAGTTGAGCTATATACAAATAACAGAGGAAAAACTGTATATACATGAAAGATATTTTAAAAATAATTTAACCCCAAAATTACTAGTCTTTATCTGAACTTAATTCTGCAAGGCTTATAGCTAGCCCCTCCAAGATCACAGCCCTAAAATCCTTAACACGGGACTTGTCCATAATCAAAAAGTTTTTTTGAAACACGTGATTTCAGAAAAGTTGTCATGCTTTGTGCCCACATTTAGGCACACATTTGGGAATACATGTCATACCAGGAGCTGTTCTCACGTAAGTATTTCCGAACAGCCAATTCAGAAATTTCTGGGTGCAGATAACCTATTCAGGCAAAACTTGCACTGACTTCAGTGCGAAGCTGACTGAAACAGTACTGAAACAATGGTGTGACAAATCGTGTCGTTTTCTCTACATTACTGTTAACGGAATTATTAAAATTCCCTCTCTCATTTTGCAGGTAGGTCTCAAGAAGGAGATGCCTGCCTAAAAAGATTCCATGCTTTCCCACATTAATTCCTTACAGAAATCATCAATACTGTTATAAACCTTGTCCCTCCAAAATGAACTCAGAATCCTTAAGCCTAGGAATTAGATGTGCAGCTGATTTCCATGCATCTGTTGGCAAAAGGTACAGTACAGACCTGCTGCTTCAGGTCCTACAGCACCCAGCCTGAACACACCTACAATTTTTTTTTTTTATATATATATTCAAAATCTATATTCTAGTAAATGAATACAGTTCATAGAGGTCATACCTCAGCAGCTGAGATATCTTCACGAAAGATGAGGATAAAAATCAAGACTCTCAGATGGGGACTCAAGAGTGTAGGTTGCTAAATTATTGCTCCAAGACAAAACTACAAGCCTGTGTGTTCTATTAAGAAAGGTTAAAATTGTTGTCTTGTAAAAAATAATGATTATCTTCTTGTCTATAAAGAAAACTAAATGACTAATAAAGCAAGTGTTACTGTTATAAGTATCTAAACAAATCCTGTATAAATCTAAGCACTGTATTTTTTAAAAAAGTCTGAAATCTAAGAATACAGTAATAAGCTATAATTTTAGAAATATAAAAACAGTCCAAACAAACACTGTTATGGAATGCATTTTCTATGTAGGAATGTGATTTTTCTTTTTAAATTTTTTTTTCCAGAGCTAGTTCTTTCTTGTGGTCGTTCATCCTGGATATGTTAATCTTCAGATACTTTTCCGCAGATAACAGCAGAATATCATTAGTTTATCTTCCACAGCTGTTTAAATATGGAATTTATCAATTGTACGGTATTGTTCTTTTTCAGTATTTGAGACTAAGCCTATGTCTATCCCAAGACTTCTGCTCTATTTTCAGAGAGAGAAAGTAAAAAGGAACCTTAGGACAAGCTACACAGAGTTCGCTTTCTTTTTTTTTTTTTTTTTTTTTTTTTCCACACAGAGTCAAGATCCCGTTCTTTCTGGTTCTTCAGTCTTAAACGGCAAGGCTAAGGAATCCTTCAGGTGCTACATCAACAACAGAAGCTAAAGAAGAAAATGGGGGAAGAAAGGGGGAAATGCCAAACAAACAGGGGGGAAAAAAAAAAAAATGCCGAACAGAGAACTTCATCCATTGTCCTTTGCCAGCGTTATGAAGGACATGAGCTGTTCATAAATGTTGTAGTACAGGTAAGCAAAGCAAATAAAGGTCAGGCAGGTACGGCAATAATTAGCTTCAGTGGACAGTTAGAGAAGCCTGCATTAAGAATGTTCCCGGTGAACACAGCTGTACTCTTTGCTGTGCGTGGTAGACTGTATCAGCAAATTTGCCATATATTAAAGCATAAAATATGATCAAGAAGCAGAGTTTTAAACATGCCACATACTAAGACGATCAACACAAAGCAGCAAAAGGTCTATGACTTTACAAGTACGAACATGTAGGAAGGGGCGGGGGGGAAAGAAAAAAAATCTATAGTCATGCTCAGGAGTCAAGGGACTATTTGCAGAATATTTAAATGAAATCCTCCAAGAAATTTTTCACAAGTCTGTTTAATTAAGGTGCAGATTAATTATTACTCCATGTAGAACAGAATCAGTTAAGAGGTATCTTCTATGCTCTTCTATTTATCAGTGTCTGGACACAAGGCATCAGTGGAAATAAAATGCTAGCACCAAGTAAATAACCAACAAATAATATCTTTAGATGCATTGTTGGTACAGTATTATGACTGTTTCCTTGCTATTTGATGATTACTTACATAATGCTTACATTATGCTAATGGCACAAACTGGCAAAACGGAGTATAAAAGTACTCCTATTGTCAACTAGGCTTTAACTAACGACCCTACCAAGACACTAAAAATGTTGCTTTTTAAAAATTTACATTGCTATTAATAAAACATACCTTTACATGAGTCTTGCTAGATACCAGTTTTGTGCAGTTACTGTGGACAAGTGACATGAGAGATAAAGCAATACAAAACACTTCAATTAAACCAAATCAGTCATACTCTAACAAAACCTTGCCTGGAAGAGTATCAATCTGCTCTGTTGTATTCTTCCTTAATGCCCCCTCATGTAGCGTTCACTTGCTATTTTCACAGTGAAGGGCGGGATTTATTTCCTCTTTTGTACCTATTGTCTAGCACAAGAAGCAGCACCACTGTAAAAAAAGGATTATGAAGCTATGATTCATGCCTCACAGTCAAGTCAATGCATCTTTTCGTCTCTTCTAGAACATGCATGTTCCAGCTCTCCTTTTGAGCAAATGTTACTGTTTGTGCCAACATCAGGGCATTTTAGGGATGTGAAAAATAAATCTGGGACAAGATACAATAATGCTGGATTAACTTTAAAAAAGAAAAAGAAAAAAAAGAAAAAGAGAAAAAAAAAAAGGAGAAACAGCGACGTGTTGGAAAGAATACCCAGTAGTATCTATGCCATTAGAACCCTCTGACTTACCACACTACAGAAAAAAATAAAATTAACCCTCATTTACTTGCTTCGTCAAGAAAACATATACAAAACTTTCCTTCCCGCTGGTCAGACCTCAACTGAAGATGGCTACATCTGGCAGAGAGCAGTAATTCTTTGCAAGCACCTCACCAGAGCACTGGCCTACCTTCCATCACGTACCATTACACTACTTTGGAATGCAGGAGCACAAGCTTGTTAGAACAGTCAAATTATGATTTTCCTCCTTACACCTCCGGGTTAATATTCTCAAACTACCAAATATGGCTTTCAATGTCTGCTCTCAAATGACATTGTGACACATCAGA